AAGCTCCATAGTTGATTTTTCGGGTGAAGTTTGTTTCACTGAAATTGGCGAATTAACCAGTGATTTGGCGTGGGTCATTGACTTACTACCAAACCGAGGCCTGAGTGTTGATTTCTTTGCTGACTAAATTAGGGAGAGGAAATTTTTGTTATGAGAATAAAAGTTAAAAAAACCTAATTGTTATTGTTTCGTATTATTTTAATAATAAAAATAAAATTATTTTTTTAAAAAAAAACCATGACTAAATAAAAATATTTAATATATTTTAATATTTTTACATAAAAATAAAATTACCCTTACATGCAACTGGAATTGAGACATTACTATAGTTTTTATTTCAATTTTAAGAATATCATTATATTAATTTTGTGGGTTCTCTGCTTCGACAGGACAGTTAGTAATTCTTAGCTTTTATTATGAAATTATATATATATATATATAAATATATAAAAACTTAACTAAGATCACAATTAAAGAATTACATGGATCATCTTGAAATTAAATTTTCGTCAGCTCCCATTTGATTTGAACTCTTTTTTTTTTTTTTTATCTATATAAAATTTGGTTTGATTTTCAATATGTTATGGTTATCTTAATTAAAAAATATATAGTTATTACGAATAAATTTTTTACTTAAAATATAATAAATTTTTTTCAAACTGAACATAATTTTTATTTCGTCTGTAAATGTAATAGAGTGCGCTAAGAATTATCTAAAATTGTTAATCTAATTCTTTAAAATTAACATAGTAAATTTTTAATTTTAATGAATCAAATATTATACATCAGTCATTATCATTTTATAATATACCAACAAATAGTGAGTTTTGTATTTTCAATAACATTTAAAATTTTTAATCTTCGAATATAACGTAAAAATTTTAATTAGATTGTATTTATAACTCGCCGTATTAATTTAAAATCTGTAATTTATATAAACAAAGCCACATATATAAATTAAGAAAACCATATCCCTATTATTTTTCTAAATTTTATTAACCATATGTTTAGATATGTATAACTTTGGATTCCATGTGGGTCACGATCAAATAAACTACCACACCGTACGAACTTAATTCTTGTATTCTTTCTCAAAAATAAAATAAAATATAATCTTAGAATTAAATTATGAATGTTTATTTTATAGTCAAAGTTCAATAGGGTTTCCACAAGAAATGTCTAAAGAAAATTTTAAATTCTGTCAATAAACAGATAATATAATATTCATGTCCAAAAATGGATAGGCAGAAGAAGTCTTACTTGAAACTTAAAAAGACATTACATTATTTTATGGACAACCAATTTTTATATTTATTGTAATGCATTGTAAAGATTTTTTAGACCTTATAAAGACAATGCAATAAGAAAAATATACTAATGGGAAGAAAAAAAAAAATTGCAAATTTCTTTAAATTAGCATTGAAATCCAAGTGTTGAATGACTACAAATATTAATAAATGAATTTCAAAATTATCCCATCGTCTCCTTCAAACTTTTTTCAACAGTAAAATTCAAGAGAAAGAAAGCTTAAAAAAGAAACTATTTAGCTGCAACTCCGTTACCCAAGACCAGAAATTAAGATCATTTACTCATTCAACTCCTCTTTCTTCATATAATCAGAAGCATTTCCTGTGCACAATGGAAGGTCCAGATTCATCGTACTCGGCCTTGGCAATCCACATCTGTATTTTGATAATTACACAGTTAATAATCAAACAAGGAACCTGCAAATCAAAGATTTCGAGAACACCAACACAATCATTATAAACATACCTGCTGGAAAGTACTGAGAGATGCCAAGATAGATCCTCCAATCCACACGCTGTATTTTCTCTCCGGCGGAGCCACCACCTTGATCTTCATGCTACTCGGTGCCAAAGCAGTGATTTCCTTACTCATCCGATCAGCAATACCGCCGAACATGGTAGATCCACCACTAAGGACAATATTCCCGTATAAATCCTTCCTAATATCCACATCACACTTCATGATAGAATTATACGTGGTTTCATGAATCCCCGCTGCTTCCATTCCGATCATCGATGGCTGGAAGAGGACTTCTGGGCATCGGAAACGCTCAGCACCAATGGTGATCACCTGTCCATCAGGCAACTCATAGCTCTTCTCGAATGAAGAACTGGTCTTTGAAGTTTCCAGCTCTTGCTCAAAGTCAAGAGCTATATATGATAGCTTCTCCTTCATGTCCCTCACGATTTCACGCTCGGCAGTGGTAGTGAAAGAATACCCACGTTCGGTCAAGATTTTCATAAGGTGGTCTGTAAGGTCTCGACCAGCTAGGTCAAGACGGAGGATTGCATGGGGGAGAGCGTAGCCCTCGTAAATTGGAACTGTGTGACTAACTCCATCTCCAGAATCCAAAACAATGCCTGTGCAAAGGATAATTGTTTTCATATATTGAGAAACGCTGGAAAATACACTTTAGAATTTCTTCTTTGAAGAAGATTGTAATGCTTGGAAATAAAGAACATCTATGATTCTCTTAAAAATAAGGAGACATTCGACAAAAGAGTAACAAACAATATATATTATAAAGAAGAAAGAGAAAATACAAACGTAGAGTAAAAAGTGAAGTTACGAATGTATAAATTCATTTGATACAAATAAATTTTCTTATATATATATATATACATAAACGATATAAACAAAAGTCAGTGTTATCCACTAATCAAGTCATGTTACCACTAATGATAGAAATAAAAGCTAATATTTATGTTAACAAACTAAACTAAGATAAATAATAAACTTGATTAAATAAAGACCATGTGCTGGCTGGTGTTGTAGTTTTAACAAGAATCAGTATCAATCGAATAGAGCTATATAAGTCAGATCACTTACCAGTTGTACGACCACTGGCGTATAAGGAGAGAACAGCCTGGATAGCTACATACATAGCAGGAGTATTGAAAGTCTCAAACATGATCTGGGTCATCTTCTCCCTATTGGCTTTTGGGTTGAGAGGAGCTTCAGTGAGAAGAACTGGGTGTTCTTCTGGGGCTACACGGAGCTCATTATAGAATGTGTGATGCCAAATCTTCTCCATATCATCCCAGTTATTTACAATACCATGCTCAATTGGGTACTTCAAACTCAAAATTCCACGCTTAGATTGAGCTTCATCGCCAACATATGCATCTTTTTGGCCCATGCCAACCATGACGCCTGTATGACGAGGGCGACCTACAATGCTAGGGAAGACAGCCCTTGGAGCATCATCGCCAGCAAATCCAGCCTTAACCATTCCAGTCCCGTTATCACAGACGAGTGGCTGGACATCTTCACCATCTGCCATCTTTAATCACCAGCTTCAACATGTCACATGCAGGAAAGTAGAGTCAGGCAAGAAGAAAAAAATCTAACCTTTAATTTGTAAACTGCAAGGTGTTCACATATAATGTTTCACTTATTCTTCTTATCGTCCATAAATGTGATTCGAAGTCAAGGCCAAACAAAATCTCAGGACAAGGAAATTTTTTGAATGTCATCAATCTCAATATGTTCCAAATAACTTACAAGTAACAAAAATACAAAATGGATCTCTTCCATTTAGAAGGATTTCACTATTCATTGCCATTAATCTCAAAAGGAGAAAAAAACAGAAGGTGTTATCATTGGTGAATGCAAAAATTTTCAGATAATAATTCGAAGAATGTGAGAATGATATTGAAGTTTAAATCGTGATAAATTCTCTTTCATTCAACAATATATTCTATTATTCTAAATAAATAAGAGAATGTAAATATACAAACAAAATAATCACAATGTATAGAACCTTGGATTGTGAACTAAGTCGGATGAATCACCTAAATAACCACGAATCAATCAAATGAAAAAGGGAAAGAAAAAAACAATGTGATTGACTGAGGTCAAATAAAATCATAGTTGATATGTAGATGGACTGCAATTTAAGAAAACCAGATGGGTAATGAAAATAAGAAGAAGAAATTTACCTTGGAAAATTTAGATAAGGAGCAAGATAATGAGGTAGAAGAAAATGAGGAAGACAAAAGGAAGAGTTGAAAAAAATTCAAACACCAAAATGGGAGTGGAATTACATATATATATATATATATTCATTTTTCCTTATTTGACAACCACATCCTTCCATGAGAAACGGGCACAACCATTGCCATTGAAAAATAGGCAACCACAGAGAGAGACAGACAGACAGACACCATTCCAAGTTTTTTTTTTTTTGGTTCTAATTTCTTTTAAATATATTTTAGAATATTATTCCATTAGATATTTTGTTTCTATTTTTGTTTGATATAAAATAATTTTATTTCTAATTTCAGTTAAAATTTACAATTACCTACAAACATTAAAAATCCCTAAAATTAATATTAATATATGTTTTACAGAAAAAAATAGATTTTTCAAATAAAGATATATATTTTTCAATTTTTTTACAAATTGGACATTTAAATGTGAGAGTCTTTGATCTCGATCATAAGCCTGCAATCTAAAATATATTATAGACATTGATCTTAGCAATTTATATCAATATTTAATTTACTATAAGTTATTTTATAAGCAAATATATTAAAACTTTTTTCATTTTGATTTGAGTATTCAAGTGTTCTGTATACATAGAAAGTAAAATACTTGTTCTAACATACAATCAATTCAGGATTATACGAAGCTCTCTCGT